AGCTTCATCGGAACATTTCGAATCTGATATTCCTATTTATCCACGTTTTCATACGCACTTTTTTTGATTTTCTCTTTCGTTTCAGTTGAAAATTTACTTTTACGGGCAGTTCATAAATACTGAGTGCTGTTGCCCTACTTTAATACTGTTTCAATTATTAACAAAAGTTGCAATATGGCAATGTGTTATCATTTCCTTGCTAATGTGGTTTCTTTTTTTTTTGACATTTTCAAACAAACCGCATTGGTGACGTGCCTGTCTAAATGTCATGACGACTCGGCCACTGATCTGTTTGCTTTTTTACTCGCTCATTTCTCTTTCAGTTTTATTACTTTCCCGTTTTAACAGGCAATGTAAATACAAATATTGTGATAAGATTACGTCTGTGCATGCATGCGTGTGCCTACTGATGATCAGGGTGCATACATATGTGTATGTGTGTGTCTGCATGTATATATGGGAGACTGTTAGAAATTTTGATTGCAGACATGCAAAAGTTCAAAATCATGATTTTGCCTTCTCGATACGGTGCAACAAACCTAAAAAGCATTTCCTAGATTACTCGCACTCTTTCCGAGTTTTTTCTTAACTCATATTCATTATCGAATTCCCTGGTTTTTTTTCTTTGAAAGGTTATTAGCTTTATAAAAAGAAAGTATGTACTAACATAATCATCTTCTCTGAGAACGGTGTGCACGGGAACCGGGATAAACCCTTGTGGCCAGCCAGTGATATTTGGATAATCGATGTCTGCTCGTGCTTCTCCCTCGGAATTGTAAAAGCCGATGAAATTGGAAACTGCGCTTAGCAACGTTCGATTTAAATCTGTTGAGCGGACATATATCTAAAAAAATCAGAATAATTTTGTGGCAAAGCAATAACCTAGGCTGAAACGCACTGGGCGGGCCCGTGCGATCATACGTTTTTGACCGGACTTGAGGTACTTAGGTCATTAACTGCATGAATGGTTGCTGCTTTACACCTACCTTTTGCGTTCACTAGCATAAATCACCATAAATTTTGCATAAGGTAGATGTACAATTTTCATTTAACTATCGTTCTTTAAAAGTAATTTAGCTGCTCAGTCAGATATTCAGCTAAAATTTTAAGTGCCCGTACGTAAGAACCATGCTTAACTCAAGGCTGAATTTGAAATACTTAAATTGTACTTGGACAGGGAACATCTCCCCTAAAGTTTCAGCCTTCTAGCTTTTCGAGTTGCCGAGGTAGTAACTTTTCCGTAGGAACTTTCATAAGTCCTTACGTAAGTACTGCGCATAGCTTGGGGCTGAATTTGAAATATTTGAGTTGTACTTGGGCAGGGAATATTCTCCCAAAATTTCAGCCTTCCAGCTTTTCTGGATACCGAGTTAGCAAGTTTCCCGCCAAAAATTTTACGTGCCCGTGGTGGATACCCTAGGTACTTGGAAAGCTGAATTTGAAATCTTTAGCTAGTAAATGCGCAGATAATATCCCTACAAAGTTTCAGTCCCTTAGCTCGTGTGGTTCCCGGGATCGTTTTCTCGCCAAAAATTTGCATATTTTTTAAAGCGTCCGTAAGCGGTACCGAGGCGTCCACGGGGAATGAAATTAAAACGGGAGGGTTGCGCATGGTATAGGCGCATATCCCCAAAGTTTTAGCCTTCTAGCTTTCCTGGTTCTCGAATTGAAAGTGGGTGACAAAAAGTGCGAACACACAGACAGCTTCTTCCCAATATGCGTTTTTGCAATTTACATATATGCGAAACGCATAAAAAAGTGCAGGTGAGTCTTGCGTGACGTAGTACAAGTTGAAAGCGACATGTTTTACTGGGGCTGAAGTTTGTATGTGTCACATACGGGCAGTTATATGCTAAGGGAATTCTTGCACCTGTAGTGCGCGGTAAGCCATAGATGGAAAAAATTGTTTTATTCAGCCTAAAGACTCATTTATGCGTATCTCGAATTTTAATCCAAACTACAGAGGAAATAATTCTCAAAAATTCCAACTTTTAGCTTCTATTATTCTCGGATTGCGCGGTTAGTCTGGGTTCTGGTCCAAAACTGTAGGTCTGGAGATCGTTCGTTTCTTTATCCCGGTGTTGTAAAGTGCTATT